ACAGACATAGATAGATAGAAAGAAAGAAAGAAAGAAAGAAACAGACATAGATAGAAAGAAAGAAAGAAAGAAACAGACATAGGTAGATAGATAGAGAGAAACAAAGAAGAAAGAAAGAAAGAAAGAAAGGAAGGAAGGAAGGAAGAAAGAAACAGACATAGATAGATAGATAGATAGATAGATAGATAGATAGATAGAGAAAAAAAAAAAGAAAGAAAGAAAGAAACAGACATAGATAGAAAGAAAGAAAGAAAGAAAGAAAGAAAGAAAGAAAGAAACAGACATAGATAGATAGATAGATAGATAGATAGATAGATAGATAGATAGATAGATGGAGAGAATGAAAGAGAGAAGTGAATATAACAAGAGGAGACACTAAAAATGAATCTCTAAAAATAACAAATTACTCTCATTATGAGTCAGTCAAATAGAATTTTACTTTTCAGAAGCTCATTTCGTTTCTCGTATCCCATTTTTTGGCACAAAAAAGCTAAAATAAAATAAATATTACAAAAAATTAAACAAACAATAATAATTTCACGGGAAGAAAATTAAAATCTGCAAAAGAAACTTAACGTTAATTACATATATGTAAGCTTAGGGTGGAGCGAAATGATGTGAGCTGAAGATGGCAAATAATCATTGCCTGCTCTTAAACGAAACTAGAATTCGGAAGAAAAAAAAAATTGTTAACCTCGGCCGTCGGGCGAATGCTCCCGAACCTCATCAGCAACGATCCTCATCATCCACACGCCCACATACTCACTTTTTCTCATTATAAACAAACAAGCTTACCCACTGCCGTAAAAAAAAAAAAAAATGATGGCGCCTCTTGTTAAGTTTTTAGCATCAGTAAACATTTCACATATTAATTATATATTTAAAAACCTTAAGTATATATTATTCGAATTATTATTGTCGCACTTGTATTATTGTTTTTCATTTTCTGGCTCGGTCCATACCTTGGGAGAGATTATTTTAATTCCAGATACCGCCTACAGTGAAATGAAGTACAATGAAACCACGGTTCAGGAATTTAATTTGTTTCTGAAGGCCATTCGTAACCCAAAATTTTCGTAAACCGAAACTATTTTTCCAATAGGAATCAATGTAGCGAAAAAAGTCACAGTACAATAAAATTGGAGAAGAAAATCACGTCACAACACACGAATGTATACAAAATGGCGGTCGACTCGGAAATTATTCCGTTCGGGTTAACTCGGTTCGGCTATGTTGTTCGAGAACCCAAATTTTGTTCGATAACCGAGGCATTTTAATCTCGAATTTTCTGTTCGAAAACCGATTTGTTCACATGTGAGACGTTCGAGAACCGAGGTTGCATTGTATATCAAATATAGAAAGAAATTATCGTCGTTATCGTCAAAACCAGAAATTAAAAAAAAATGAAGGCAAGAAAAATGATTCTTGTATTATACATAAACACACGTTTTCAGAATTTTTTTTACTCAGTTTAAAAAAAAGTTTTATTTGAAACAGCAAGATTACAAATGCGTTTAGTTTTTCTCACAAGATAAACTTTCTTTATATTTTGATTGTCGTGTTTGTTTTATGTTTTCTCGCTGCATTATTTTTATCAATATATAAAAATATACCGTAATTTCTTGAAAATAATACGCACCCATAAATAAAACGTACATAAACAAATGATCCCAAAATTAAGAAATATATCTATCCCTATGTATAATGCGTATCTATAAATTTTGTCAAAAAAATAAATAAATAAAATAATTATGGGGACGTTTTGTCGACCTTGACATTAAGAATAAAATCGAAATTAAACGGCTAAAATAATGTTGAAAATTACCAGGCGGTTTTCCCCATAAATATAACATTTTATTTTACCGCCAAAATGTCGTCAAAACGTGCGAGTTACAGTGCAAATTTGAAACAAAAAATAATAGAATTAGCAGAAAGAATAGGAAACATAGCTGTAGTTAGAGAATATAAATTGAATGAGGCTAACATACGTTTATGGAGAAAGAATAAAAATGAACTAAAAAAAGTGTAAATTCAGTGCCAAAGCTATAAGTAGAGAAAGAAAGCTCAATATCCAGATATGGAAGAAAGTTTAATTGAATTTGTGAAAGAAAGACGATCAAGTGGATGTTCCATAAGTAATGTGGAAATAATGATGAAGTCAAAAAGAACTTTTGAAAACCATGTATCCTGGAAACACATTTAATGATGAAAATTAAAATTTCAATAAATTGTTAACTTCATATCCTCTTTTCTTCAAAATTGGCCTTTTTATAGATTTTTTTTTATTTTTCGCCAAATAAAAAATGCAGTAACAGATGAACATAAATTTATTGACAAAAAATGTTACAGTTATTATTGTTGAATTTAAAATCAAAACTGGGATAATATCTTTCTTATTTTAGAACAAAAGTATTTTTGTTTAAACCTATTTATAATACACATCCCTACTATCACCTGTAATTTACAGGAAAAAATGCGTATTGTTTTCGAGAAATTACGGTAATAAAGTCATATCAAACAGAAAATTTTGACAGATTAGTTAACACCTGTAACTGTATTACCGGGTATGTGTAGTCAGCACTTTCCCCCCCAAATTTGAAACTGTTTTGCTAACGGAAATTAGGTGAAGAAACACAATGGCTAAATATCCGGTTCATTTAGATTCGTTAATATCATGAAAAATGAAATATTTTAATGAAATATAAGCACGACATTGAGATTTTAATGGCTAATATGATGTAGCAATTTTTAAAAAAACAAAAAAAATAAACAAATTACAAATGGCTGGCTGAACTATGGGATCGTATTATACACAAGGATTTCATTTATTCCCTGATTTTAGTTTCAGATACACAGCCTCGTCTTATACAAAAGAAAATACAGTACCAAAGTTACAGACAAGCACTCGTATCCTAGTTTGACTATCTAGCTAGACAGTCCCTGTGCAGACGCACGCTCAGGAATATTTTTGTTTGTTCAACACACAGAAACCATATGCCTTTTTTTGTGATGTCAACGAACACTCGTTTACACTTTTGTAATGCCAAGTAATACTCGTAATGCTCATTGTAGTCGAGACTTTGTAATCGCAGATACAACTATAGTAACACCGTTGAACAATATTAGTGTCAGACGACTTCAAGTAATACTCGCACTAATAGTACTTGCTCTATAATACTAGCTCGAAATGTAACCACCGAATAGTGATCCGTGTAGTGGTAAGTATAGAGAAATAGTATAGTGAATAGTATAAAGATAGAGGATAGTGTAGGAAGAGTGATCCGTAGAGTAATAGAGGATAGTATAGAAATGGCGATCACTTAGACGTCACGCTAATTCCCACGTATACATTTATTTTTACTACCACGTGATCTACTTCTTCAAAATGGGATCGCCTGTATTTGCTCTCTGGTGATCCGTGTTCAGACTCTAGTGTCGGCAACGACACTTTATTCCTCTATGACAGGTTTGGACTGTAACTCTGCTGAGCAGACCGTAGTTACATTTTCTGGGAGTTAGAGCGTTATCGGGCTGGACCAACAGCCTGGATAAGACCAGCACGTGCAAACCCTCGGTCACGATGACTTGTGAATTCGTGCTAGCACAACCATCGACGAGTCTGTCGACCCAAATTCACTCACAAAGTTTTGGATCAACCCGTGGTATGGTTGTCAGGCACTTTCCGAAGGTGCCACACGCTGGGATCACCTCCTCCAGATTGAAAACATCAAGAAGTTTTCTTCCTGACAAATCGACCATGGTGAAATTCGAACCCGGGTCGAAAACCGAACAGCCACAGGTAAATAATATTGCTATGAATGTACAGAATAAAACGATTTCTTTCTTAAAACACAGGTAATTTGCCAAATAATTTCACTTACTACTACTTTATTAGTCTGCTATAAGCTAAAAGATATAAAACTGAATGTTGCTTCGCGGTCACCAATCCAACTAATGACTGTGTTCAGCAAAACTTAACCATGGTAATTACTCGAGAACCAGGGCCCTAAACATTACTTGATCATATGCTACTTGTATACCTTAGTAGCCGAAAACAAACAGAGCGTTCATGAGTTGTTTAAATTCAGGTAAAAGAACGGGCTTTCAAATGTTGATTTTCTAGGCAGGCAGGCCCACCCTGTCTTGAAATGTTGGCGTGGTCCCCATTTGGATGAGTGCCATCCGAAGTTAAGCTGAATAAATATCGTTGCACTTACGAAGTACGGTGATGAAAAACGGTTTTGGAAAGGCGATCGTGTCTGTCATCGGATGATGTAGGTACGAATACAAAGTTATTCAAGAAGCCAGACCCCCGAAAAATAACAAACAGCAAAAAGAAGCGGACAATTTTCTTCGGTAACCTTCATCGCAACCATATGTACTTTTCCTGCACAGCCCAACTGAAGGATTGTGGGTGGCGACTGGCCTCTTAGAATGATTTGGCAACAAGGGTAGCAGTAGTCGTGAAGGAGAAATTATGCTGCCTCCGGTTGAAAGAAATAAAAGCTGAAATCGCAGAAATAGATACGGATTCTTTGTTGGTGCTTGAATCAGGATATACACGCTAAGATAAGAAAAGTTGATGCACTTTCCCTAAAGAACCAACAGGAAACAGATCCCCTCTCTTTGTTTATACGTTACGAATGCAGGATTAATATTATTACATTTTCTTCGGATTGTATACACTTGCCTCTCTTTTTTTTCCCTATGACAGTGAATGCTAGACAATCTCATCTATACAGATGAAGAAGAGAATTGAATCAACAGAAACATTGTTCAACAGGAGGATACTGAGAATACCATAAACTGAACATATGAGTAACGACGAAGATTTTAAGGAAAATGGAAACACAAAACAAAACATTTATGGGGATTTTCTGAGCGTAACTTACATGTGGCACAAGGCTGAAAGTAAGGGGCACCCGGTGAGGGTCCAACTCAATACTCAGTCGTAACTGATCTAGCAAAGCAAGTTTACGACCCATTTCACCATGTAAAGTGTCCATTTAGTGATTTTCTAATAGTAGCTTAGATATGGCACAAGGCCGAAAATATGGGGCACCCGGTGGGGATCAAACTCACTACTCAGTCGTAATTGATCTAGCTAAGAAAGCTTACTAGGCATTTTACCACGTCAAAGGGTCAATTTAGTGATTTTCTAAGCTGAGCTTAGATATGGCACAAGGCCGAAAATATGGGACACCCGGTGTGGATCAAACTCAGTCGTAATTGATCTAGAGAGACAAGGTAGCCAACCATTACACCAAATCAAAGTGCTCCCCAAATGGACGCGCATGTTTATAATCGGAAAGACACATATGAAATCGCTAGGATACATTATGAAGAATGAAGGCTTGGAAAATTTGACACTCACA